TGGAAGGGCAGTCAAGCGTTTTGGCATGGGCCCCGGCCGGGTTGTGAGGCCTGACTCGACGGTTGACCGTGTAACCCCGAGAAGGCCATTTCACTCCTCCATGGGTTTGCAGAGAGCAGCGAATGATCCGGGGCAGAGACAAGATGCGCCGGGGAGCCTCAGGAAATGGCAGACCCCAAGAGCACTTAGTGGAAGCCATGACAGAGGATGTGGAAGCCCCTGAGTATATACTGGTCAGGAATGAATGAAGTGCCGCAGGGATGGAACTGCTCCCTGCCTGTGTCATGGGTACCCATCTCTGTGGCCCTCAAGTGTCCATGGGTCAAGGTGAAGCTGTTTCTAAGTCCTTTCCTTGGGGGTGGGGGTGCGATGAAGAGGTTGTGGTCACAGTTGACCACAGGCCAAGTATGACTCAATATGCTAGGGTTCTTGGGAAAGACAGTCAGGGCTGGGCTGGGAGGAGGAGGTAACTTCTAACTTCAGGCCTCCACAGAGGCACCCAAGGCAGAGGGCATGGGGGTGGGGCTTCCCTGGTGCCCAAGGAGGGAGGCGATCCTCCTGTAGAGCCGGGGCCTTGAGCCCTGTAGTGAACACACTTCCTGAACCCCTCCTGTGAAAGGAGGTAGGGGGGGACCAGGCCTAGACTGTGCTCTTAGGAAGCTCCCTGTACCCAGAGTGGGTGAAGCAAGTTGCTCCAAGGAGACTGTGGGTCCACGTCGGATGGTGCTGAGGAGAGGCGGGGTGATCACTGAGGGCTTCCTGTAGGAGGCAGGCCTTGCAACATGAACTTTGCAGGCAGGGTTTGATGGTAGCAGCAAGAGCCAGGGGCCAGAAGGCATTGGGTATGGGGGGGACATCGGGATGCTAGTTTCTACCGCAGGTGGCTTCTCACCTTGTAAGAGGAGAGGGAGGTTGTAGTGACTGTTTAAGTATATGGTGTCTGGGCTCTCTGAGTTGAAATCCTTTGCCGCTTCTGGGTTGTATAGAAGCTCACTTAACTTTCCTGCCTCAGTTTCTTCATCTGGGACATGGGAACATCGAGAGTCCCTGACTTCAGGGGGCAGTAGTGCAGATCCAAGGAGGCAAAGCCTGTCAAGTGGGCACCCTAGCCTTCCTCAGCTCAAGCTGGCCTGGAACTGGCCAGTCCTACAGGCGTGGGTGCAGGGCCAGCAGGAAGGGCTGGACTAGGGGGCTTTTGCAATTCGCCAACTGCTGTGGCCTTCCTGCTCCTGGGTGGCGACGAGCAGAGCCCCAGACGGGGCAGAGCAATGAAACAGCCACTTCCTTCACCCGTCGGGTCCTGTGAGCTGCGGTTGCCCACTGGGAGACAGATGTGAAGCTGCCGCGCAGCCGCCGGCGCCAACCCCCAGCCCCGGCCCGCAGCCCTGGGAGCCTCCTCCACCTCCCCCAGCTCAGTGGGGTTCTGTGGCCACCCCCCGCAGCCCTACACCGTGCAAACAACATCCTCGCCCCGCCAGTCTCCCGAGGTCTCCCCCTCTCTGGGGAGGGGACTCAATTTTCTGCCCTCCGACTTGGCTTCTCTGAGGGCCCCTCCTAAGTCTTTCCCGTCTATCCCCGTGGCAACTGCCCGCGGACCAAGCAGCTGCATCACTGGTCTTCCTGGCTTATGTCTGTATGTTACCAACAGTCACCGCTGTCCTCACATCACCACCCAAGGGCAGCCAGTCGCTGCCTTCACCGCCCTGCCACCAGAGTCAAACAAAAACTACTGATAACCTCAATGTCGGCCCCGCCAGCCAACATCAAACAAAAAGACAGTGAGGGACCCCAGCCCGCAGTTCCCTCCCATTACCGGCCGCGCACGCCCCACTGAGGAGCACGGTCAGCCACACCTCTTTCAAAAGCCTCTTCCTGAGACTGTCACCAGAAACCCAGGGACAGCCAACAGCAAATGAATGCCACCGTCAACCCCCAGCTCTGACAGCGACCACCCCTGGCCCCCATGCCGGGGTCCCACCTCCAGCTGAAACCAACCACCGATGCTTCACACACAACCCACCCGCAGACCCACGGCTGCCTCCTGCCCGCAGCCCGCACAGGGACCGGCAGCACCATGCCACAGCCAGGGATGTCACCCCCGCTGTCCGTCACCAGCCCTGGCCTCGAAGGAGCGTCTCTCACAGCGCTGGCTGCTGTGTACTGAGCGTACGGTACACGCTCCGTAAAGCACTCTACAAACATTGGGGCTGTTGAATCCTCCACCACTGCTCCTGGCGCTCATCGCCCCTCCAGGAGGATGCCAGGGCCCCTAGACAGAGGGGTTGGCCTCAGGGGCGGCTTCCACTCTGTTTTCCCTCCACGGTCCTCCTGGGTGAGTCTCCCCTTTCCCACCGCACCCCACAAAGCACTTCTCAGAGCTTCTCGGAGGAGTTGCTCCCCTCTCCACTTGCATATCACTTCCTGTGTCCTTCTGATCAAATCTGCCCAGCTGAGCTCCCCAGCCTTCTGGCCTGGCACCTCGGACGCACTGCCATCCCGAGCCCGGAGCTCCAGCTGATGGCCTGGTGTGTGAATCTCACAGAGGGGGCCTGTTTTATCCCTGGGTTTGTAAGGGGTTCCCTCAGACTAACACACTCCTGTGCCTGACCCCCCGCCCGGCCTCCGCCTTGGTCAGCCGTCCGCTGCAGCTGTAAGGAACACTGCAGTTGTCACCACTGGCTAGGTGACAGTCCCAGCTGTACATGCTCATTGACAGAATGACAAAAAATGAAAGCTGGAGTGGCCTGCAGAAGCACAGAGCTGCGGGGAATGACTTTTGTAGCTCGTGTGTGTTACGATGCTGCTGAGTGTAGATCCACGAAGGGGAGTCTACCTAACCCTGTCACACAGACGTCATCAGACCTCAACCTCAGCAGGTGGGGACGTCCCTGGCCGCAGTGTCCCCCCTGCTGTCCTTGCACTGAAGGGGGCTGACGGTGTGCGGACGTACTGGGTCTTACCATCTCCTGCTTCTGTGATTGCTGCAGCCAGACCACCGGTCACCCGCACAGGCACGCAGCCGCTGTACTGTCCCTGCACCCCCCATCTGCTTGTTTGACACAGCGTCCCCTCCCCTCCCAGCTGGCCAAACCCACAGACACCTCTGAAGTTCCGACGGAGAGGTCTCCGAAACACCTTCCACATCTTGACCAACATCCAAATAAGACATGTGAGAACTGAGGCCCAGAGAGGGGAAGTGACTTGCCCAAGGCCACACGGGGAGACGAGGGACCAAGCTGGGCTGGCAAGTGGGTTTCCTAAGCCCCAAGAGAGGCATATGTCCCTGTCCCCACATGGCGACCCTCAGGGCTTCCTCCTACCCTCAAGTTACCGCTACAACCTTGGCCCCCACAATCTGGCATCCTGTCCACCATCAGATAGGGGAGCTTGGTCCCTGGTGAGGGGTGCGGGGACACCTGAGCTGCACTGCGGGACCCCAAAGGGTCCACCGGGCTTCTCCCCATTGCCCCATCTTCCGATGGTGGCCACAGGGCTGGTGCCCTCCACCCCTGCACGCCAGGGCCGGCCCATGAAGAACTTACCATGGTGGGGGTGACGTCAGGACCTCTGGGGGCGCCCAAATGAGTCGTGGCAGGGGTGCAGGTCAGGAGGCCCTGGGGGGCGGCTCGGGCATGGCCCTGCTCCCGCTCCTTCACCAGACTCCCAGCCCTAGTTCCTCTTGCAAACAGCCCCCCTCCCACTTCCTTTGGCGGGAGGGGCCGCTGCGACGGGGGAGGGAAGCTGGGCCAGTGGGGCGGGGAGAGGCCCGCAGCCGAGGCAGGGTTGAGGGAACTGGCTATTCGGGGCTCCGAGCCTGCAGGATTGATGGTGGCAGCTGCCAGACCCCAAAAGGCCCCTTCTCCAACTCCTCCGGGACGGGGCTGCAGCACACCGCACACAGGTCAGCTGGCTGCAGGACTGACGGCTCTTCTCAGGGTGACCCCAGGAAGCATCTGGGCTGCTCAGGTCTTTTCAAAACCGCTTCAGATGTGTGTCCACTCCAGAGCATGTGTGTGTGTGTGCGGGGCGGGGAGGGCGATGGGAGTGGAGGGTGCCAGGAGCCAGGGGCTGCTGGAAGGTTCCAGACCTTGGATGTCAGCTCTGGATTTAAGCACCCCCAGGCCTGCTACCTCTGAGGTCCCCCATTTTCTCAGTAAAACTGGTGCGGGCCCTCTCAGCAGCTTCTGGCACCCCTAGCATCCACCAAGTATGGGCCTGTGGCCTGATCTTTGGGAGCCCAAGAGGCTACGCCCTGGTCTCTTGACATTGGAAGTAATAGCAGCTCCAACAGGCTGTCACCTCCCCGAAGCACACAGTGGGGAGGTGGCCGAGGCACCTGACAGGGTCTAGCAGCGAGGACCAGGGACTGGGTCTTCCCTGCGCTCTCGGCGGGCACACAGCACCCCGGCCTAGGGGTTGGCAGGACGCGGCGCCCCCTAGTGGCCACATCTGGGGAGGGTCCCGTCTCCGCCCTGCCCCCCGACGGCGGAATTCTGCGCCTTTGCCCAAAGGACTGGCTTGGGGCCTGCAAGGCCTTCAGGCACTGAGCGAATGAGCAGGCAGGACCCCCACTTTACGGAGGGCGACAGGGAAGGCTTCTGGGAGGAGGCGACGTTCATGCTGAGACTGAAGTGTGAGCTGGAGGTAGCCTGGCGGACAAGAAGCAGAGGGCGCACCTGGCAGAGGAAGCCGCTCTAGCAAAGGCCCCAAGATGAAAACTGGCGCGAGACTCCCGGAGTTCCAGGAGGCGGGAGGCTGGAGCCCGCGGAGAGCCCGGAGTGTGGCAGCAGGGGGATGGCAAGTGCCAGGCCGTGTGGCTCTGAGAGCCTCCTTTGAGAACCTGTAAAATCCCCGGGCTCTGGCCTGTGTCAGTGAAAGCCCCCTTCAGGCTGCTGGGGGGCCACCCGCGGGGAGCAGGAGGCTGAGGCTGCATCCACTCGGGGGTGGGGGATAAATGTGACCAAGGCTCCCTGGCACAGCCACAGCCACGCGCAGAAATCTACACAAGGCAGAACTTTATTGATGTCGGGCTTCCTGGCGAGGGGTGTATGGGCCCCAGGGCAGGGCCTGTAGCACCATGATGGGGGCGGCCTGGATGTTGGGGTTCCCCTGGGGCAGGCAGGGCAGAGGCTGGACTGGATCTGCCCAGCTCTGCCTCATCCCTGTAGCTGGTCTGGTCCGGGGCAGGGTGTCAGGGAAGTGGTGCTAACCCCCCACCCCCATAGCGGCGTGAGCCCCCCGCCCCAGCTCAGAGCAGAGGGACAGGGCAGTGCTGGGGGCAGGGCACCGGCATCCCCGCTCTTCACAGTACGTATTCCGATCAAAGTGGGGACAGTGTTGGGCCTCCCTCGGGGGTGGGTGGGTGAAAAGGGCACTAGGGCGAGCAGTTGTCCCCTCCTCAAACCCACCCTGGAGGGGGTCTCCCCATTAACTGGGAGAAGGGATGATGATGAGCCCTGGGGGCGGCCAGCCCCTCTCCATCCCCCGGTCAGAGGCCCTGCAGGGGTTCCCAATAAATAACTCTCGGCTCCATCTCACCCTTTACTGGCAGCTCCCGCCCGCTCGACTCCGGCAGCCTGGCGGGCGGCAGGCCGGGGCACCCCCCAACCCCCCGCCAGCCGGCGACCAGCTGTGATTCCGGGGGCACCGTGCGCCCCCTAGCGGCCCTGGCATGTTTTGCAGCACATCTGGCGGAAGTAGGCTCGGCTGCAGAACTGGAATTTGAGCACCAGGGGGCAGTAGGCGACCTTGTTCACGTCCTTGCACTCTGCAGAGGGTGGGAGAAATCGGGGTTCAGGTCTCAGCCCTCTCACAGCGCTTCCTAGCTTCACTGGGCTTCTGTTTCCTCACCTCTCAAAGGGGCCTTATAATAGTAACTGTCATTAGGCTGAAGATTTCGAGAGTGTGGGGTCTGGAGCTTGGACACAATATTAAATTCCTAGAAAAGTCTTCCTTTCCCAGTTCTCCTTTGGACCCTCTCGGGGCCGTGATCCGTGCTCATTCCCCTTTGTAGCAGGGTGAGAACCTTGAGCTCCAGTGGGTATTTGTATATTCTGTGTCCGTGGTAATGGACAGTCCGTTCATGACAATGGATGTGGGCTCCCACTTGATGTAGGACAGGCCTGATGCTGGTGGAGGGGCTTCACGTGGATCATCTGACTTCCTCTCCCTCATATACAATAATTGGGCACCCCCCGGGAGTGAACATATCACCTAGCCCCCTTGACAGATGAGTAAACAGGGGCACAGAGGTGGAAGGTAAACCTAGTTGGTTTGGGCCTGTGCCCTGCGGAAGCAGCATTTTGCTAAGAAAAATCAGTTTACTTAGGTAGGAACAAAACGGGGCATATTTAAATAGGTGGCTCTCAAGGGGGTGCCATTTTGCCCCCAGGGGACAGTTGGCGATGCCTAGAGGCATTTTTGGTTTTATCAGTGCGGGCAGAGGTGCTATTGGCATCTAGCAGGTGGAGGCTCACCATCCTGCTGCATACCCTACAGCCCGCAGGGCAGCCCCCCACGACCAAGGACCATCCGGCCCCAAATGTCAATGGGGCCTGAGGTTCAGAAACTCTGATTTAAAGGAAAAATACTAAGCAACTGGAGATGAATAGGGCAAAGGTCATGAAGTGGCTAGGGAATGACCACAGAAGGATCAAGGGACTGCAACGCTTGGCACACAGTGGCACTTAATAAATGCTGGGTGGGGGGCGATGGTGGAAGTTGGCCTTTTGGTGGCTGGAGAAGCTCTAGGGCTGATGGTCAGGGCTCCTGTGCTCTCCTGCGGTTCCTTTCGACAGGGCCCTCCTGGTGCCCACCCCCCCCCCACGGCCTCCCGCCCCACGTACCTTCCGGGCCGTCCCCAGGGGGCGCGCTGTCGCACTTGGCCTCGCACTGCTGCGTGGCGGGCGGCCGCAGAGCCTCGGAGCACTCGCGCGACGGCTGGCCGGTGTGGCCGGAGCAGCGCACCGCACGCTGTTGATGCCCGAAGCCGCACTGCGCGGAGCACTGAGGGGAGTCGTCGCTGAGCCGCCACCGGGTCGCCCCCTGTCCCCGCACCCACCCCCAGACCACCCACCTACCTCGCCCCACTCGCCCGCCACCCAGCGAGCTGGGGGGCAGCGGCGCAAGTTGCAGCGCATGGTGGCGGGAGGCTTGGCTGCGGGCGGGCAGTGCCCCGGGGGCAGCGTGGCGCGGTGGTCGGAGCTCTTGCACAGGACGATGCGATGGCGGAGGCCGGGCCCACAGCTGGGGGTGCACTGCAATTGGACGGGGCGTTGTAGGCTCAGTGGGTGCCCCGGCCCTGCCCGCGCACAAGGCGTGGCGGGGATGCTGGTCCGGTGGGAGGCGAGGAGGGGTGCAGCTGACCTCGGACCAGTCGAGGGCGGCCCACTCGGGCGGGCAGGCGGGGCCGTGGCAGGCTTCCAGGACCGGCGGGCGCGGCTGCCGGCACGCGCTGTCGTCCAGCGCCTTCTCCTCGGCGGCCGACACGCGACGCTGGCACACGACAGAGCGGCTACGCACGCCCGCGTCACAGCTGCGGCTGCAGCGCGACCAGTTCCCCACCACCCAGCTGTGGGGAGGGGGCGGCAGTCAGAGGGTATGCGGGGCGGGGCCTACTCGGGGCGCGGGCGTGGCCTCCTCCCCCCTAGCAACCGGCGTGATTTTGGAAACTGGCACCTGCAGGCGCCAGCACCATGAACGCCGCGCTTGGAACATCAGCACCCTTAACCACATGGGTACCCAGGACGGCCCCCAGGCCTTGACTTAGGGAGCGTCACGGCTCTGCCTCGGACTCCAGGGGAGCCCCCAGCCCACGGGGGCAGGGCCGGGGCCGGTCGCCCCGTCCCGGGGGCACTCACTCCGGCGGGCAGGGCTCCGTGTTGCAGGCTCGCTGTCTCCTGGGCAGCTTGCTGTGGGCGCTGCAGTGGTGGGGCGCCACGGCCGAGCCGTCCAACTGACTGCGGCACTCCACGGCCTGCACCTGGCTGCCTGCGGGCGGGCGAGAGGCCCGCTCAGCCCCGCCCGGCCCAGCCGGTCAGCCCGTGCCCAGTGCCCGCCCCCTCCGCCGCCCCCCCGGCCTCACCGCCCGCACACTGGGCCGAGCACTTGGTCCAGGGCGCGTAGTGCCAGGAGTAGGGAGGCAGCGCCTCACGGGCGATGGGCGCGTTGAAACGGAAGCGGACGGCGGGCAGTTCTGTCTGGGACAGTACCTGGCAGCGGCGGGGAGGGCGCGGGGCGTCAAACAGAAGTCAAGCTCCAGTCCCTACCAGGGTGCCCATATCCTCCTGCCCCTTGCCGTCAGCCTCGCCATTACCATGACGACGAGAGACGCATTAATGGGTCCCAGGGCTTCTAGGCTCTGCGACTGATCCGGCCCCTGTCGCAGCTGAAAGGTGGTCCCGGCCAGGGGCAGGCGGTGGGGCTGCGGAGTCCCGGGCAGCCCCTCCAGCAGCAGGGACTCCTGGTCTCCCTTCAGGGCTGGGGGACAGCGCAGGGGTGAGAAGCCCAGCCTGCTGACCGCCCTGCTGCCCCAGAGGCCTCATTCCCCTGGCCGGCTCACCAAGGTGACTGAGGGACAGGTTCAGGTCCTGGATGAAGATGTGGACGGAGCCTTTGGGGATCCAAACGACTTCCTCATACCCTGGACAGCGGAGGTCAGATGTCAGGCCCTTGAGTGGTCCCCCCACCCTGCCCACCTCCCCCATTCCTGGCCCCTGATGATGACAGCTGGCCATTACTGCACTAAGTGCTTACAGGGACATCCCACCATGTCCCCAGCTCTGGCCCCAGGAAGACAGATATCATCACACCCATTTTACACATGGAAAACTGGGGCTCAGAGAAGCTAAGCAACTCTCCTAGGTTTGACAGCTAGGACGTAGCTGGGCTCAGATTTAACCCAAACTTTCCTATGACTTTTAAAACCAAAATGATCTGATCCGTCTCCCTACCCACATGGGCTGGGTCCTGGTTGATTTGCCTGGACCCCTAAACTGTCCCCTGAGCTCCCCACTTGGGTCTCAGTCTGTGTCTGGTCCCACAAGCCCACCTTCCCACCCCCTGCCCCCTGGGGTCTTCCTCCTCGGGAGGCATGTTCAGTATCCCCCCCTTTACTCAGCCTTTTATCTCCTGCAGGGCCCCCTCAGTTCCCCTGGCTCCCAGACCGTGGAGTATGATTCTCCGCACCCCACAGACCAGGCTTGACGCCCCCAGGTAGGGGACGGGAGAGGCTTAGGTTCCCACGCCCTGGGGCACGTTAATCGACAAGGTGTATGCACCAGAGCCCTAATCCGGGCATCACTGTGCCCTCAGGACTCTCTGGGGTCCCCACTGGGGTCTGAGGATGTGCTGATCTCAACCTCTGTCATGAGGCCAGCCCCGCACCCCCAGCCACCAAGCGGGAGGGTGAGGGAAGAGGGGGTATCTCACCGGCCCCGGGTGAGGCTGGGCTGAAGACCCCCTCGATGGTTCTACACGCACTGCCGTCACCACCACACACCCGGCACTTGTCCTCTCGAAGGTCAGAACCCAGGACCCGGTCACAGCCCACGTGCTGGGGAGCGCCACGGTGGTGGGCGTGTCAGCGATGCACGCAGCGCTCCACCTCTGCTGCCCCCTCCCCTCCATCTCTCTGGGGATCCCCTTGACCTTGCACTCGCCGCTGACACAAATGTCCACTGTGTCCGGGCGGCATGGGGTCCCGTCCACCACGGCCGCCGCCCTCTCCGTGTAGAAGTTGAAGCCGTCTGCTAGGCACGTGAGTGAGCAGGCCTTCACGCCCCCTGGGGGGCACGGCCCCCTCAGACCAAGGGCCAGGCCACCCTGAGACTCCCTGCCCGGAGTACTCCCTGGGGATGTGAGGCCGAGAGGGGGGCCCTGGGGCCCAGCAACGCAGGGCAGGCTGGGCAGCGGGAGTAAGGGGTTCCCAGCATCCTGGAGGCCACGTCCAGCCATGTGTCCGGCACCCTGGCCCCTTGAGGGAGGGGAGGGTTCGGGGCAGACCCCAGTGCCTCAGCCACCTGGAGCTGCCCTCCACCATCCCACAGCCTGCTAAGGCCCCCCTACTCACCTCCTCGGTAGGTCTTCCATGTGTAGAATTTTCCACGGAAGGGGACACTGTCAAACTCCGAGCACTGCATTTCTCGGAAGTCCTGGGAGCCTGGGGGACAGTCCTGCGTGACAGGAGAGAGGTGAGGGAGGGAGGCCAGGGAGGAAGCTGGAAAGGTCCAGGTGTGACTGGACTGTGGCCTGGAGGGACAGGGGCTTCTGAGATGGGAGTGGCTGACCCATCAGTGTTTGGAGCAAGCTGGGGTTGACGCCGGCTTTTCTGGCTTCAGACCATGGGGCCTGTTTCCAGAGAGCCGAGGAAGGCCCACTCTTTATGTGTGCCTGGCATGTGGCCTTTCTGGAGACAGGAGGCCCCAGTGGGGGCTAGGGAGGCCACCTCTCCCCACATGCTGTCCCTGAGCCCTGAGACACGCCCCTCCCCTCAGGTAAGCCCCTTGTTGATTGGGAGTGTCCATAAAAGGCTTCTTTACACCCAGGACTCAGCTACAGGGAGCCACGACGTGGAGAACAGGGGCAGCAGCTGAGAAAAGGTGACAGAAGGCGCAGCTCAGAGAGGCTGGGCGTGCAGGGCTCTGGCGAGGCCCGCCAGGCCCGAGTTTTGCCCCAGGTGCTGTGGTCCAAGGTCAGAAGGGGGCCAAGCAAGAGGACTCGGGGCTGGTGACAGGGAGCTCGCTCGGGACAACTTTGGGGCAGAGGCGGGGCTCTTCGGGGAAATGCGGCTGTGAAGGGAGGGGCGGGGCGCACTACAGTAGGAGGGGTTTGTGGGGTCAAGCACGTATTTCAAAGGGGGAGACTGTTGGGAAAGTTGGAAGGAGCCAGACGCCCGGGGAGGTGCGAGGGACGCGAACCGGGATGCAGGGGCAGGCGGGGTAGGGGCAGGGAACAGAGGGGGTGGCCGCGCGGGGTCCCCAGGAGACGGTGCGCAGCCGGCTGAGGCTCAGTGGAAGCTGAACTACGCCTATTTTCCGAGTGTAAGGGGGCCGAGGGGCCCGGCTGGGGTCCCGGGGACACTCACGTCGGTGTTGCAGGAGCGGTGCCGCCGTCTTTCGCCCAGGCAGTACTTGCCACCAATCGTTGGCCTGGAAGGGACGCGGGGACAGTAAACAGATGGAGCAGGGGGCGCTGGGGGCGGGGGCCCGCTCTCCGTGCTGGGGGTCCGGAGGGCTGACCTGGGGCTGTCGCAGTGGCGGCTGGAGGAGGACACGCCGCCGCCGCACGTCCGGCTGCAGTCTCCCCACGGGGTCCACGGGCCCCAGGCCCCGTCCACGCCCTCCGGCCGCGACCCGAAGGGTACACACACCCGCTTGTAGCACCACTGCGCGCGGAGGGGAGGGGTGAGTCCGCCCCCGTGTGCTGTCGGGGACCCCTCGCTCCTACCGCCTCTGAGCTGGAGGCCCCAGCCTCCTGGGATGGGGCGCGAGGGGGCCGCAGGTGCGGTCTGGGGGGCCGGGATGCAGTCGGGTCCCGCAGGGGCGTGGCCTAAGCATAGGGTCGGAGGGCGGGGCGTGGCCTCGGGCCAAGGGGCGGGACCCGAGGGCAGTGGGCGCGGCCTGAAGCGGCGGCGAAGTACCCTGCCGCACGGGCGGGCGTGGCTCCAGGACCGGGGCTGCGCGCTCACCCCCTTGTCGATGGTGTGCGTCTGGCACAGCGTGCCCTCGGCGGCTGGGATGCTGTTAGTGATGCAGCGATTGCTCTTGCTCAGGCACCACAGCTCGCTGCAGACCTCCTGCGGGCCAAGGCGCCCGCTCAGGCTCGCCCCCCTCCCTCCTCCCTGGGGCAGGTGACCCGCTCACTGCTGCCTGGCAGTGGGGCCCCGACGCTCCTTTACTGGGTCTCAGCGAGCCTTCTTGGGTCCCCTTGCGAGGCATGGACTGGGACCACATTCTCTGCCTGTAAAGCCGCACTTATCCAATGCCTATCTGTGCCAAAACTCCCGTAGGGATTGTTATCCCCATTTTACTGTGAGACCGCCAAGGCTCAGACAGGTCAAGTCACTTGCTAGGGGTCACACAGCTACTAAGAGGGAGCCCGGGTTCTAACCCAGACCTTTGACGGGAGGGTCTTGATCTAATCACTCGGGAGCCTCCTGAGTTTCTAGAAGGAAGCTTGGACCTGCTGAGGAATAGAGAAGGATTCCGGATTCTTTTCTGGGATGCGTGAAGCAGCCCAGGGAAGGGGAGTGGTTCTGAAAAATTATGCCTGCAAGATAGCTCAGATCAAGGGCCCCATCTCTAACTTTTTCCAGCTGGTTGTTCTTCTCGTCCCTCCCACCTAAACTGAGGAAGCTCCCAAAGCTTCCAATCTATGGAGGGCTGGGAGAGTACAAGGCCGGGCTGGTCCTCTACTTCCCCCAGTAAAAAATCAGCCCATTTTCTTCCTGCTTGAATCCTGGTTGGGCTGCACCAGGCCCCGGCAGCAGGTTCTGTCCATGTCAAGAAGCTGAACCAGTCCCAGGAAGTCACTCTGAACCTTTAGGTCCAGGTTACTATCCCTGGACAACCCCCACTGAGTTCAAGTGTGGCTAAATCTCAGACCCTCTAGCCTACATCCTTCTGTCCCCTTTTTATATTCACGTGTAATCCCCTCTTTGAACGTTATCCTTATAAGCTTTAAGATTAGGGACCGGATCAATCAATGACTTGATAGGAAGGGACCTTTTCTGGGTCAGCCTCTTAGAGACATCTGCACACACATGAGAGATTTGGAGGGTTGTCCTCAAACCTGCTCCCTCAAATGTCCTTCAGAAGACATCTCTCACCTCTGCTAAAAACCCAGTCTAGTTTTCTGGCTTCATTTGACTTGTGTCCTTCTGGCCATTTGTAAAAATATCATGCACTCCAATCCCACTTCTGACACCTCTTAAAGAGAAGAGCCTATTCCAGTTCTGCTCTTTCTCCTCTGCACAAGGAGGTGCTGTGGTACAGATGAATAAATTCAGGACCACTCTGGGCCTCAGTTTCCTCATCTACAAGATGGGCCTTACCTAAATAAAAGGCAGAGAGGCATGTGACAGAGTAGATGTAAAACATTTGCATAAGTACCCTGTTACTACGTATCAGTGACCACAGCTATCTCTGGACCAGCAAGTACTCCAGCTCTTTACACATATTGACCAATTTACATGTAGTTAATAATTTCTTCCTTTGCCAAGTGGGAAAATAAAAGGAAGAATCAATTTGATGTACAGCCAGCACTGGCCCATGCTTGATATCCTGGTACTTTCTCTCTCCCCCACTTCCTTATAAAATTTGGAGTTGTAGACAGACCTGGATTCAAATCTCACCTCTGACATGTTCTCGAATTGTGACCATGCATAAGACACCCTCCCTATGCCTCAGTCCCTTCATCTGTAAATTGGGGTTAATAGGATTGTCAAGAGTTTAAATGAGATGATACATGTCATATGCTTAGTACAGAGTGAATGCTCAGTAAATGTCAGCTTGTTGTCGTCATTGTTGGGGTATCTGGGACACAGGAGATACTCAAGGGCAGCTTCTGAATTCTTTAGAAATTCATTAGAGGGTGCTGTAGTTACCAGCCACATTCGGGGTGGTGGTGGTGTGGGCAGGAATGGGTTAAATAGAAATAACTCCAGCATCTGTGTCCTTGTCTTGCAAGGGAAGAAGGTGGGGGCAGGTTAACAGCTGCCTGCTCCTGTTACGGCTAAGCCGTGGCCATGCAAACTGCGATCTTTTGAGTCTTGAGGGCATGGAGGATTGGCATTAGGCCTGGGCTCCTAGGGCTGAGTTGGTGAGGAGGAATCGAGGGAGCCGGGCAGTGGTGGGGCAGACCTCACTCAGCTGGCGGCCCCTGGGGGCTGTAGCAGGAAGCCAGCAGGTCTCCACCTTCCTGGGGGCAGCTGGGAGTGGGGCCCCCAGCTTGTGTCTTTGTGAGGATGGGGCTTTGGGAACGGAATCTAAACCTTAGGAAGAGTGAGAGGTGGTCAAGAGACACAAAGCTCCTCTAGCCAAGGCCTGGGGCCAGGAGATTTTGTGGACCAGCTCGTGGAGGATGTAGAGAGCAGACAGGGTGTCCCTGGAGGGCTTTGCCCAGTTTTCTGCCAAGTGGGGAAGATGGTTCACCTCCAGGGAAATGATTTCCACCGAATTTGGATGTTTGGTTAAAAACTGCCCCTTTAGAGTTTTTAGTTTAGCCCAGCTGCAGCCCACAGGTGGCCTGACATGCTGGACAGAGGGTAGTGCCCGAGCTCTCCCCCAGCCCATCCTCCACATCACGGGGCTGGGGGACCAGGAGATCCCATTCTTGTTCCCGGTCCATGTCTGATTGCTTGTGACATTTATCCACCCCACGCGCCTCTGTGCCTCTGGCCCCCTCGGTCCTGACTCTCCCAGCCCCACTGCCCGGGGGGGTGCCGGTATGGAGTTGCCCACCCCCTGAGGCCCCTACCCGGGTGGTCTCGGCCCCCTCCCCTCCCAGGAAGGAAAGCAGGAAGGCTCTCTCTACCCCGTATTTACACTGACGCGATTTGACTCCATGCTGGAAGCGGCACTGTTCATCTGCGTCATAGGCCTGGCCGGGTGCCACCGTTGGGTACACGAAGTCTTGTCTGGGGGGCCGGTTGTTCAGGCAGAGCCCCAGGCCCAAGCTGTAGGAAGAAGAAAGCAGCCATCATGCTGGGGGGGCTGCAGGCCAAGAGCTCAAGGTGGGGGTCCCGGCAAACAGCCCTGATTTCCAGACACCTTTGGCCCCAGCGTGCGTGTGAGTATGGGTGGGACAGGGGGATAGTGCTCACTCCAGAAAGCTGGTGATATAGTCGCGGCTGCAGGATGACCACACGAACGGGTTGGTCTTCATGGTAATGTGGGCGGCCATGAGCTTTGCTGGGTCCTGGCCACGGGCCCCGCAGCTGTTCCCCACGCCATCATGGTTCATGCCAAACCTGGGAGAGAAAATGTCAGCTCTGCCAGGGGCTGAGAGACCTGCCCGGCCTCTCCCATCCTTCCCTCTGCGTCCCCTGGCCTCACGTGTGGCCAATCTCATGGGCGATGGTGAACGCTGTGGCCAGGCCGATGTCCTCATTAATGCTGCAACTTCTCTCTCGCTCGCACATCCCGCCCACGGGGGCCAGGCCTGGGAAATGGGCACGTGGTGGGGGGTGCTGGGGGCTCAGGGCTGTGTTGGCTGGCCCTTGTACACACTGCCAGGTCCCCGCCCCTGCCAGGGCCGGGGTCAACCAGCCCACTGCCTTCAGGGGAGCTCGAAGCCTATGGGGCGTGATTACCTAGCGTGCCACAAGGTTTGTTCTTGTAGATGCAGATGTCGTAGCTGTGGAAGGAGTGGGGGATCGTGAGGGGCTGGACGCCCTCCCTAAGCCCTGTGGATGCCACTACACCCATCTCTGGGGGTTAAACTCTACCTGGGAGTCACTATTTGCCTCTCCCCTGAAGAGGGTGCTCTGCCCCCAGTGGCCTTGGGGATGCTGGGGGTGCATAAGTCACTTACTGAATGAATGAATGAGAATGAATGAGGGCATCTGTGCCCGTACAGCCCACACCCCTTCCCACAATCTCAGGTTCCCAACAGTCCTGCTCTATCCCTGGCTCCCCAAAGCTGGCAGCTGGATAGCTTCCCAGCAGAAAGGATCCCCTGCCTGGACATGGATGGTCTCCTGGATCACGTGTTCCCCCAGCCCAAGCCTGGAGCCCTCCCTGCCCCTCACCGCGTGATGAGCACCGCTGTGTCATGGTTGGCCACGCCGTTCTCCGGAATGGCATTGCCATGGCCGTTGCGGTTCACGATGGATTTCTGCCACTTACAGAAGCTGTCCAGGGACTTCCCGGCATGGTGGGTGATCTCCAGGGTGGGCTGGGGATGGACAGAGTGAGGTGAATGGGCACCAGCTGCCCTGGGTCGGGGCGGGCAGTGTTGGTGTACAGGGGAAGGTAGTCGGCCCCCCGCACCTGGTCCTCCGTGAGCAGGATGAGGCGTGTTACCAGGATATTAACGATGTTTCCCAGACTTGAGTCCTGGAAAAGTTTGGCAACCTGACCTCCAAGAAACAAGAGAGACCGAGTCTTAAGAGGGGCCCAGAGCAGAAGACGGAAAGCAGAACAATGACAAAAGCTCACTTTAATCAAGTAGCTACTGTGTGCCAGGCCTCAGGCTAAGCCCTCTGCAAACATCTGTGTATGAGGAGGTACTATTACCATTCCCATTTTACAGATGGGCAAACTGATACAGAGAGGTTAGGACGCACAACTGGTAGGTGTCATAAGTGGGATTCAAGTCCATGTAAACCTGCCTTCAGAGGACTGGTTGCTTATCAGTACATTTCTTTTGACTCCTGTTCAGCTTGTCTATGTGTCCTCCATCCCTCCCCACCCTGCCCACCCCTTGGCTGCCTCAAGTGTCTCTGCTCAGAGGAGGCCTGAGGGATCTGTGTATCTGGCCTCATTCTACGTCTGTCTGAAGGTACCAATCTGAGCATCACGCAGGAAGGGGGAACTGTGGGGAGGCTCTGGAGACAGAGATCAGAGGGAAGGAGGAAGCAGCCTGGGGGTGACTGGGCACAGATGGAGGCCACACCGTGCAGTGATCTAGGAGCCTCGGGTCATCACCATCCTAGGTGCAAACCCACAGAAACCCTGGCAGGTTTTAGGAAACTCTGAAAGCCTATGGGAGGGGTAGAACATAGTGGCATCAGACACGTTATGCCAACATCCATCCGTCTGTCTGCTATACTCTCTCTTCCCTTTTTGCTTCAATGAAACAAGAGCACCATTCATTAGGCCCTTACTGTGCACCAAGTGCTTTGCTTGGCTTCCCTTCCGCCAATTCTTATCCTCTGCAGTAGATGCTATTATAGGTGGAGACGGAGGCTCAGAGAGGTCCAGAGTCGGGACTGAGATCTGGTTTGGGCACTGAATGTATCTGAGAGTGAGTCTGCGAGGTCACTGAATTTAAAGGTAGCGTGTGAATGAGAATGCATGCATGCATGCAGATGTGTTCCCACATGTGTACTGCGAAGGTCAACAAGTAACTGCAAGCTGTGTGCTTATTTTTATATCATAAACATTTATGTGGCACCTACCATGTGTCCAGAGCTGTTCTAAGAGCTTTATCAATTCAGTGAATTCACCTTAGCCATATGAAGAAGGTACTATTATTATCTCCATTTTACAGATGGGTCAACCAAGGCACAGAGGTGGAGTAACTTGTCTGAGGCCACACAGCTAAAAAGTGGCGGAGCTGAGATTTCCGCCCAGACCGACTGACTCCAGCGTTCATGCTCCTAGTCCCTTGCACTTCTCTCCATTCTGTTTCTCTGGCTTAGTTCAGACATTGGGGGTGGGGTGGTGACACTCCTTTTCCTGGCCTCTGGAGGCTGACCCAGGTTCTGGGGGCTCTATGCCAGGCAGGGGGAGGCACTTACAATGTTCATGATGGCTAGCACATACTGTTCCACGTCTCGGCGCCCGTGGTAGGCCACCATCATCTTGTCTGCCACCACCAGGGTCTCCACGTAGCGCTCTCGGCTGACCGAGCGCTTCAGGCCTGGCTGGCCACGTTCCGTTTCATTCCCCAGGGGCCTGGCAGGAGGTGGCTTCAAGGTGCGCAGCCACCAGGGCCGCCCCTTCCATGGTTTCTCATCTGCATGGACAAGTTCTGGTCATTCTGATGCTTGCCCTTATTGTTCGGCTACCTGTCTGATGGTCCCTCTGCCCAACAGGCTGTCAAACACCTCATTTGTTTGCTACTGGGTATTCTGGGTGTTCAATGCTTCGTTGCCCACATGTGTGGGTCCACAATGATGTGGCTGCCCCACTGCCAAACTGATTGGCCAAACAGCTGCCTCCCACTCTGTGATAATCAGCACGACTGTACAGTCTCATTGCTGGAACTGTATGCTTGTACGACTTCTTGGCCAGACCGTGCGACTTTCCGATCAATGCACTGCTCAACGATGTGGCTGCAGAACGACCCAACCACCTGATGTTCTTGCTTCCTGGTTGTCCCCCAGCCCGACTGTCCCACTGGCCATCTGACAGTGACAGCATCCACTTTTCTGCTGTATAACCCACTGTGGTTATATGCCTGACACAGCGTCCTGTCAAGCCACTTAATTTCCCAGACATCTGCATTTCTACCAGACAGCAATCTGGTTTTCTAGCTCATTGTCCTGGTAAATATTTTGTTCCCAATTAGCTTTCTACCCTCTCATCCCCTAAAAGTCCAATCGTACACCTGTCCTCTGACCTGAATGGTGGGTGAGCTCTTCTCGGGCCTGGTGTTTTCATGCAACTACAGCCGCACTGCTGCTTAACTGTCTGACTGGACACTAATTCTAGGGATGGATGGATTTATGCCTGAGTGCTTATCTAGCCGCCCAACTGCCTGTCTCGCTCTCCGGGCCATCAGACTACGACAGTGGTGGGTGTGCTGTTCCACTGACTCACTGCCCAGATGTCTGCCTGCTATTTCTCCCTGCATGTGGCTGCCTGCTGGGCTTCCGGATGGAGAGACACTGCCTCCCTACTTCTGCCTCAAGGAAAAGATGTGCGGCCCTTTTGTCCATTCCCAGAAAGACAGATGTACCTCTCACTCCACAGGCTGTGTCCAGGTGGGGGTGACGCAGAGAAGATCGCTTATACACTACATGGGGGCCACTCTCCTCTGGGCCCTGGGCTCCCTTAGGTCCACCTTGCAGGGGTTCAATCAAATATTCTTCCTCATCTGCCATAATCAGGCCATGCTGGGAGGTGGGGAGTGGGACAGACAGCTTGAATCAAGTTCTGGTTCCCAGGAACCCTGGAACCCTAACTCTGTCTTTATGGTTTCATTTCCTTCTATCTTCCTGGGTTTATGTTACTAATCTTTTAAAAATTTCTTGAGATGAATGTGGAGCTCATTACTTTACAGCCTGACCAAAGGCTATACATTTTCCTCTAAGTTCTGCTTTAGCTGCATCTTAAAATTGTTAACCCTTTTGGTTAACTCAAAACCCTTTCCAAACTTCCACTAAGATCCCTTCTCTGACGTACATTCAGTTACCTTTTTCTTAACTCCCAAACCTGTGGGCATCTCCCCCCTGCTCCCCAAACCCTCCACTCACCAGGCCCCCACAGGTGCTGATAGCCACATGGGAGCTGCCAGCCTGGCCCTGCAGGTGGCCAGCATAGAGGCAGTGGGGCCGGGCAGCCCTCTGCCAGGCCAGGCCCTCCCGTGTCCAGTACTCCACGGAGACATGCCCTGCCAGAAGGCGAGGGCTACGGGTCAGGTTCAGCAGGAAGTGGGTGCTGGGTGCGGCCACCTTGTAGAAGAGGCGGGACTCCGCCACAGGCCCCGTGCCCCGACGCTGCCTCCGGGGGACTGGGGGCGAGAAGGCCAGCAGTGCCCCATTGTGGTCCACGCGTGTGGGGAAGGCGATCTCATAGCTCTCCAGGCTGGACAGGAACTCATCTGTGGGCGAGGGTCAGAGGCCTGGGGTGGGCCCTAGGAGGGTGACCTCTGTGTCCTGGTTGTTAGGCTGCGTGGCACATGATGCTGGCCTCACTGGCTCTTGAATCCAGGTTCCTGGCTGCAAGACCTTGGGCCTCAGTGGCCCCAGGGCCCTCCCCCAACCCTCGATGGCCATTATTCACACCATACTGACCGCTCCCTCTGCAGCTCCTTGTTCAATACCCTACCTTGAGACCGGAAGGCGTACGTGACTTCGAACGTGAGGCCCAGCCCCAGGGCGAGGGCCCAGTGGAGGATCTGGCAGGCGGGAGCCATAGAGGCCACGTGTCCTCATGTCTCTCTCCAGCCCTGGTGGCTGGCAGCCCCCACAGTGCCACCTGCCGTGTTCACAGCCTGAGTAGCATCGCTGGGCTCCTGGGAGGGAGGAGCTTGGTCTTAGCCACTGCCAAGACCCCTTGCCAGGCTTATGGGGGACCCGAGGCCCCTCACTCGCAGCCCCAAGGATGCCCAGGGCATTTCCTCACTCGGTAGCCCTCCACTCCCAATCCACTCCCTCTCAAGCCCCCTATATTCAAGATACACAAGGATTTTGGCTCTCAGAGTGCCTACTATGTGCTGGCTAGTGGCCTGAGCACTTCTACACTGTTTCATTTCATTTCCACAGTAACTGAGAGGATGCATCTGTCGGGGTACAACTATGGCCCTGTAGGGCCCAGTCCTCTGGGAGCAAGGTGGGGGAGAGTTCAGACTGTGACGTGTTCTTTAGGAGAAATATCAGGGTTGCCCGGAAGTGGATGTGCAAAGGACAAGAAACGGATCACATGAAGAGACAGAAGGAGGTACAGAGGAGCCACAGGGTCAAAGGCCTTGAGGCTTAGTGCAGACCCAGGCCCACAAGGGCCAGCCTGGTGGTGGGGGCAGAGTGACCTGGGGGTGGGGGCAGCAGACAGCAAAGGGAAGCTGGCATGGACACCCTTGAAGGTTGTGTTGGTCACTGAATTTTCAGCCTGGATTAAACTGGAGGCCAGTGGCCAGGTTCCTCCCTGCCTCCTGCTCTGACCAGGCCCCGCCCTCGGGTGCTCTGCCGTGTGTAGCCTGTGGACTCCGCCACCGGGGCTGGAAGACCCTGCCTCCTGGTCTCTGTCCCTGAGATCCTCCACCCTGCATTTCCAGCCTGGCCCCTGGCCTGCCTGCTTTCGCTTGCGGATTCTACCTCCTTAAAGCTCCAGGCTGCACAGCAGGTCCCGGGTCCTCTGGCATCTGCCCCAGGCCAGCCTGCCACGGATACCACTTGGGGCCAGACCTGTGCCAAGCCCTCCTCCTGCCTCCGCCCTCTCCCTGCCCCCTCGGTGCAATTTCCCCCTTAATCACACACTGTCTTGTTTTCTTTGCGGCCTGGCCAAGTCTGAACGCGGATCCCCAAACAGGGCAGGGAGGGAGCCAGGTTTTCCACAAGATGCCGACTTAGAAGCTGACATTTCCCGCTTCTGCTTGGAGCCCTCCAGCAATGGGAAGCTCACTCCCGGGTACTGTGACCCTGTGATTCCCTTTAGCTGGGTTAATTTCACCCCTTGGTTTTGATTTTTCTTCCTTTTTTTTTACTTTTTGGGGGAGTCAGTCTGTGGCTTGGACCCTGTGAGCCTCAGGGTCTCTTCTTGGGGCCTGGACAGGGAGGAGGCCAGGAGGGGGAGCTGGGCTGGGTCTGGAGCTCAGGGGTCACTGAGCAAACGCTGCCCCTCCCCCCAGCCCTGGAGGACCTCCTCTGCGATTTCATGCGTGCTCTGTTCCTGGCCATCCTCGGCTCCCTCTGACACCCATGTCCACCTGTGTCTCTCCCGCTATTCCTGATCCGCAGAGACCTTGACCAGCTCTGGATTAAACCCCTTCCTGGTGGGCTCCTCTACCTCCTGCCTGTAGCCACCCTCCCCCCCCACCCATGCCAGGGTGACAGCGTTCTCCTTGCTGGGGTGGCTGTAACTCCTGCCCGCTTCCTGCCCTGCCAGGCCTGGAGCAGAGCCCTCCCACTGTGGCTGAGGCTCTGGCCCTGGCTGCAGGGTCTCTGGTTTGTCCCTCCCAACCCCGCAGCCCCCAAGTCCTCACCACTGTCCTCTGAGGCCTCCTGACGGCCTAGCCTCCCACCGCCTCCTGTGCTTCCAGCTCAGGGGTGTGGGGGACAGTGGGCAAGGACCCAGAATGGGTGGGTGGGGGCAGGGAGGGGAGGGGTCTGCCCCGGCGAGGCCCGGAAGGGCATCTGGGACAGGGGCGCAGCCTGCGGGGTGGTGGGGAGGTTAGACCTGCCCAGGGCACTGGGTGGGGGTGGGGAGAGGATGAGGCTGGGGGGAGGTGGGTTAGGGGGGTCCAGGGCTGGGCCTGTCTGGGCGCGATAGGCTGTCGGCGGAGGACCGACAGTGTGTGTGCGCACCAGTCCAGGCCGTTCCCCCGGCCCCTCCTCCCTGAAGGCCGGAGGGAGGAGGCCAGCGTGGGGGAGGGCGCCGGAGCTCTAGAAGGAAATGCCGGGGAAATGGCCCGGAAACGGAGGAGGCTCCATCCCATCCCGGGGATCCTGGAAGGACCCTCGGCCCAGCTGGGGGCACGGGGCCTGCGACCAGGCTGCCCGACCTCTCGGTGGAGGCCAAGGCCCAGTCTGCCCAGGCAGAGGCCGGCCTCCTCCGGGCGCTGTACATCTGGCCGGGCAGGCGGGAGGCAGACAAAGGCCCGCCGCGGCCTGCGGGAGGAGAAGGGCCGGCGGGTTCCCCCGGCCAGCCGCTAATTAAAGGCCCAACGCCCAGGGAATGGAGACACCCCGGAGGGCTGTGGCCAGGGTGACCGGCGCAGGGGAAGTGGGCGGCGCCGCTCTCACACCCAGCCACACAAAAACTGGCAGCGCGGCGCACACACTCGGGGGCGACCACACCTGCGGAGCCAGGCCCCGACAAGCGGACACCGGGACTCACAAAGGACCCCCACCCCACAACACCCAGCACATACTGACCCCCCAAGGCAAACGCGAGACACACTCCCCAGACCTGTGTGCACACACTCACACACATACACACAGCAACCCAGACGCAAGCACACGCTCGGCCTACAGGCACAGACACCCACACACGCATCCACACACTTACACCTGACCGGGGCCAAACTCACAAGATGCCCCAGACCCTGACACACACAGCAGATGCTCTCACAGGCATTTGCACATCCAGGACACGCAGACACACCCGGGGCAACACACAGCGGCACCATACACTCCCCTAGACGTTCACACACACAGCACTTAGCCGTATACACACTTACACCCACAGGCCGACACACAACACCGCCTAGGATCACACGCCGATACAAACACACCCGGACGCTCATGCACACACAGCGGCGGATGCACCGACGTGGACGCCCACACGCACCCCACACACGCACACGCACCCAGCCGGCCCAGACAGGCGCTCGCTCCCAAGATCTCGGTGGCCGCCCCACGCTCAGGGTCACCACACCGGGCCCCCCGCCCCCGCGGCCCCACGCACACGGGCGCGCGGCCCCCCGGCGCGACGCGGCCACGCAGGGCCCCCCGGGTCGCGGCCGCGCGCCCCACGCCCTCACCTGGGCCGCCCGCCCGCCGGGCCTGCGCGCCGTCCCCGCCGAGTCGCCGCCCCGCGCGCGCAGGAAGGGAGGGAGCGAGCGCGGCGGCGTGGCCGGGGGAGGGGGCGCGGGGACGGCACTTCCTGAGCCGCCGGCCAGGGTTATAAAAAACCCCCAGACCGCGCGCGGCCAGAACCCCGCCCGCCGCCGCCGCCGCCGCCCGGCCTGGCCCGCGGCCTGGACCCGAGCCAGGGCCCCGGAGCGGCCCCGCCGCGGGGGCTGGGGGGCCTCGGCCGAGGCGGGAGAGGGGGATGACGTGGGGCGGGGAGCCCGACCGGGGCCGGGCAGGAGGGGGGAGACCTGGGTGGGGGTAAGGTGGGCGAGGAGGGGAGATTGAATGGGAAGGGTCTGGGGAGGGGAGAGCCCATCCCCTCGCCGGCTCGGACGGCGTCGGCCACAGCTGTTATTTATTGAGGGTTAGTGCTGCTCAAACAAGCATATTTATGGAGCGCCTCCCGTGTGCCAGGCACGGTGCCCGGGGCGGCCGAATAAATCTCGACTGGCCCCGCCCTCCCAGAGCTCCCCTCTGGGGGGTCTGACCTTCGGCCTGGCTGGTCCAGTTTCCCAGGAGAGCGAACTAAGGCCAGAGAGGAGAGAGCGGGACCCTGTGGATTTCAGTCACCCCTGGATCAGTGCTCAGCGGATGCGCCAGCGGGGGTGACCTGGACACTCAGTACAGCGGGAGACGCGGGCTCAAGGGGGTGGCTGCCCCACAGGCCTCTGGGTGCCTGGCCGGGGGCCAAGACCCAGAGGGAGGCAGGGCGGGGGCCCCTAGGCCTCGCCGTTCCAGGCATCTTCCAGGCTTGGCTCCCAGGGAGCTGGGCTGAGCCTGGCCTGGCCTTGGCCTTTTCCAGGGCCGCTCAGGGATGGAGTCTTTCAACAGCGAGCAGTTATGCTGAACTTAGAAGGACATTCGGGGCTCCTGCACACAAGCAGGTGCTCAAATTCCGGACTCTTCCTGGGACTCCCACCGGGCTGCAGCTCCACCCCTCACCTCATCCTCACCCCAGGCCAGACCAGATGGGGGGTGGGGCTGGGCTGGCCACGCCCCCGTGGGTTTGCTAGCCACTCACCCCAGGGTCTCTCGAGCTCCCACTGGAGAAACAAGTCTAAGCCCTCTCGGACCCCTGCCTCCCCTCTGTTCCCTGGGGTCCTTCTGGGAGCCCACCCTGAGCTGCCTTCCATTTACCTCTTTTTCGGGCAGACCGCTTTGCTTTCTTAGTTTGCCCTAACTCTAAAAGCCCCACCTTCTGCACATGGGCTGCTCAGCCACCAGTCCTTAGCCTGGTGATGGGTGGCTAGCAGACAGCACTGGGAATTTCAGGGCTACTTTGAGCCAGGCGGTCCCAGGCGCTGCTATTCACTACTTGCAAACCTCTTAAATTGTTCTTTGAAACTGGCTCTTTGCATCCATTTTCCCCTCCCGGCCATGCCACAGCCCCACGCATCCTTGGAGTCGTCTCTTCCCTTTGGGTGTGGTCTGAGTAGGGCACGTGACTTGGCCCTAAGCCACACCCACAACCCATGTTTGAGTGGGGGATGGGCATGTTGGGTCTTCTGCAGGGAGTCCTGGGAAACAGACTTACGTGTGTGTGTGTGTGGGGGGAACCCTGAGGGGTCCTGGGATCATTGTGCTCAGTCCCCATTCTCTTGGAAGGGGGAGGAGGGTAAGGGTCCCAGGACCACCATTTCAGCCTTGAGCAAGCTGTTCCTGAAGCCAATAGCTGGGCTTTCATTCACGCAGTAACCCTAATACCTAGAGCAGGGTCTGGCGCACGGTTGATGCTCAGTATTGAATAAATCGGAAGGCTGCAGAAGGCTCCATCCCTGGGGAGGTGGCACTGACACTGGTTTGAATGTTAAGGAGGCAGAGGGGTGAGGGTGGTCTAGGAGGGGGGCACAGCAAGTATAAAGTCTGCTATGGCCAGTACATTCTCTTTTGACTGAAACCAGCTTGGACTGACATGAAAAAAAAAAAATTTTTTTTTTTAACTTGCCACCTTTAGAATCCAGAGTGACGTAATGACTTGCGCCTAGAGGGGTGCAGTACTCGGCGCTGCCACAGGAGGGCGCAACGGAATCCCGTTGTTGCCCGTGGATCGTAAAATCGGGAAAACAAACTGATAACGCCGATGGCGCAGATGACGCAGCACTCGCTTGGAGGCCTGTTTTAACATCACATCAGCCCTAGGGCGTAGACCCCGTTATCGCAGCCATTTCCCAAATGAGAAAACAGGCCCAGAAAGGCTGAGTGACTGGTTCAAGGTCGCTCCGCCAGGAGCGGCAGAACCAGAAGAGAACAACCGAGAAAAACGTCCCCCGTTGTCTGATCACCCAGAGGGAAGGCGGGTGAGCTTGGGGTTGAAGAGCCCTCCCGGGTGCGAGGGGGTCCTGGAGGGGTCCTGGGGTCACTGTGCTGGGGGGCCGAAGTCCCCGTCTCTAGCCCACCCGCCAGATGTTTTCCCGCCGGGGAGTTGGTGTCCCTTGAGTGCTGAGACCACTCACGCCTGCCCCAGGCCAGGTGTGATCAGCGAGAGGCCCCACTTTCTCAGTTTGGGGCTCAGGGAAGGCTCCCCAGAGAAAGCCACGTTTAATGGGTGATCTGGAGGGTGATGCGAGATGGGGAAGGGAGTTTCGGGCTGAGGGCACAGCCGGGGCACAGGCCCGGGGTGGGAGGGTCCTGGGCACGCGGTCAGCTAATCCGGGATTCCTCTGGGGTCTGGCAGATCAGAGGGACGGGCCCTGGGGAGGGCCAGGTCTGGCAGAGGGGGCAGAGCATTAACTAGCTGGAATTTCTGGCACCAGACTCTTCTGGGGGCTGCAGCAGGTGGACCTCTCCATGCTGACCATGCCCAGCCCCATCCCAAAGGGTAGGGACACCTGGCAATGTCTGGAGAATTTTTGTCACCATGAGGGGGAGGTGCCACCGGCCAGGGGCGCCGCTCAAGATCATACATACACAGGACCTCCCGTTCTACAGAACAGTCCAGCCTCAAGGCACACAGCAGAGAGGTGGGGAAACCTGGGTTAGGAGGCCGTGTGGAGTCACAGCTACTGCCTGGCCCTGGATGAGGTGACTTAAGCTCTCAGGACTCGAGGTTAGTGCAGAGGGCAGAGAAGGACCCGGATCCGCAAAGCTGTCGCTGGCATCTGGCTTTGCTATTTACCAGCTGTGTGACTTTGGGCCAGTTACTTAACCTCTCTGAAAATGGGAGCAAGCATAGGACCCACCTTACAAAGGGGAACATATGAGTATAAAATGGCCAATGTGGATAAAGCACTTAGAACAGGACTTGGTACCCAGGACATGCACAACAGGTCTGATCAAGATGACCTGTTGGTGAAGCAGAGAGGGCACTGCGGGGAGGGCAGGGAGGGGCCTGGCAGGTCATGCAGGGCCTCGTGGGCCTCGGGGAGGACTTGGCCTTGACCCCAAGGGTGGCAGGAGCCCTGGAGGGCTGTGTGGGCAGAGGAGGGACAGAATAGCACAGCAGCAGGCCAGAACCGGGTTCCCACAACCACCCAGTGAGTGACAGACGCATTCTCTGGGCCTGAACTCGCTGCGCCGGGATCGTACAACCTCTGATGCACGATTTGAATCCACACCTGTCTGCCCTCCTGGTGTCAGGAATAATACACACAGGTGACCTCATCACGGTGGCCTCACTATGCCTGGGGCGGCTCTAGGGGCATTTGAGGTCGCAGGTGGAGGGCTGGGGGGGTGGCTGGAAAGCCAGCAGGAGGGAAGAGCCAGGTGGTGGCCTGAGCTGAGTCCCCTTCCATTGTCTTGGGGACTTTTCTGATCTCTGAGGGGGCACGTGGGGCTCCTAGGCCTGGCTTGTGCCCCCCTCGTCTCCTCCGTCTGGGTGCTGTCAAGCGGACACTCCCTGCAGCCTGACTGTCCCCATTGCCCCTCTGGGCTGTCACAGTGGACATTTAATCGGGGCCTTGGATGCATGGAGTGTGTTTCGTGGAACTGTGGCCAAGTGTGCAGCTTAAGTAAAGCCACATGTGGGCATTCTGTGCAGGTCTCAGAGCGTTTCATTCACTTACCTACATCCGGGGCTTTCCAGAGCGTGTCTGCCCACAGGGTCCTAGGGGTTTCGGGGACAGATAAAGGAACCCCTGCCTTAACCCAAGGGAAGCTGAATGGTGAGATTTCAGGCAGAGAGTCCTGGCTGAGGATCGGAGCATCCTCCTCCTCCCAGGACCTGGGCATGGAGAACAAGGCTGGCATCCCGCCGTTCTCTCTGGAGGTGGCCCAGTGGGAATGCCAACTCCCAGCAGCCAAATGAGGAGCTCCGGATGACGCTGCCTGGGGTCAGCGTGGCCGGGGCTGGGGCTGGGCCGCCGGGTGAACAGCCTAGAGGAAGGATTCCCAAATGGATGGTGTCCCTTCCTCTCTGAGGGTTCTCGAGGAATCTTCTTCTGGGAAGGCTGCACGTCCCCTGGGAAAGCCCAGAGTTCAGCTCAGGAGAGAAACCTGTGACCCACTCCCTGGAGTGGAGGGTCACAACGGGAGGCGACACATCGGCGCTGCTCTTCCGAAAGTAAACAGACGCAGCCAGCCTGGCTTCCCCTGGGACCCGCTGCCAGGCCGAGCAAAGGCCCAGCCCCTTTCTGGGGGGCTCCAGCACCCCCTTGGGCTCTTCTCCCCCCCCCGACCTCTCTCAGCATCTCTGGGTGGGCTGGCCCTGGGGACCTGTCACCCCACACTCGCCCCATGCATCCCTGATGGGCGCGGTCTAGCGAGGCAGAGGAAAGCGGAGGTAGCGCGGGGCCGGCTGCTCCTGGGCCAGCCTGCGCTGCAGCCTCATTGTTACAATTACTGTTGTCGATATTGTCAGTGAGACAGGGAAACGGGGGCAGAATTGAGAAAGCAGAGGAAATGCATTGTTCCCAGGACATCTTGACTTTGGACATCTTGTCCCCCTGCCGCTGTCCCCACATCACCCACCTCTGCTACCGGAGCTGTCCCTGCAGTCACCATCGGGAGGAGCTCCTCAGACACGTGGAAGATGGTTTCCTGCCCCAAGAGCTGCCCCCTCGTCCCTTCCTTGTCCGGGGACAAGTGCCCAACTGGCTGCGTCGCCCTGATTCTCTGGGGTAGCAGCTGTATCAGTCTCCAAGGCAGGGCTGGTGCCCGGGGGAGACAGGACAAGAGCGGAGACGGCCGGCCCGGTGGGGCCACAGCACAGATAAAGAAGAGAAGCCCGGGCCTGGCGGAGAAGGGGGCTGAGGAGTTCATATCTGGTGAAGGAGTAAGGAGAGAGCCACTGTGGGGGCTTGTTTTGGTTCTAATTGTGGTAAAAACCACATCACAGAATTTACCTTTGTAGCCACGAAGGGCACACAGAATTCAGTGGCTTTAAGCACATTCACAGTCACGCAGCCCGTTCTCACCCTCTGTCTCCAGAACTGTCCATCTTCCCAAACTGAAGCTCTGTCCCCATGAAACACTAAGCCCCCACCGCCTCCCCAGCCCATGGCCCCACCATCCACTCTCTGTCTCTGTGAATGTGGCTCCTCTGGGGACCTCCCAGGAGTCTGTCCTGTGTCTGGCTTATGTCACCGAGCAGTGTCCTCAAGGCCCCCCACGTTGTAGTAGGTGTCAGAATGTCCTTGTTAATATTCCAATGTGTGCATGGACCACATTGTGTGTATTCATCCATCTGTGGAGGGACACCTGGGTTGTTTCCACCTTTGGCCATTGTGGGTAATGCCGCGGTGACCAGCTGTGTACAAATATCTAGTCAAGTCCTGCTTTCTGTTCCTTTGGGTACAGATTTAGGAGTGGAATTGCTGGGTCACAAGGTAACTCAGTGTTTTTTTTTTTTGAAGAACTGCCTGTTTTCTACGGTGGCTGTTCCCTTTTCCACTCCTACCAGCAGTGCACGGGGATTCCGGTCTCTCCACATTCTCACCAATACTTGTTATTTTTTGTTTGTGCAAGAGATGAATGGCTCCAGGAGCTGGGGCCTGGGGGACCAGTGGGGGTGTCCGGGCGCTCAGTACAAGGTTGCTGAAAAGTCAGAGGGGGGTTTGGAGGTCTCCAGGCTGAGCTCAGTAGTGGGGTTCCTCTCCAAATCAACTCTGGCTCAAAGCAGACTGTCTGCCACCCTCACTCCCAGCTCTGAGGATGTCCCGCTACTTCTGCAGCTGATGGCAGAGTTCAGGGAGGGGATCTGAGGGCGCTCGCTGACCTCTCTCCTCCCGCAACCTGACACGTGCCTGCGCCATGCACACGATGCTCACGCCACAGGGGGAAGCTTCTGGGGACAGCGCGGGGGCCCTGGCTGGGCCAGGGCCTTGGCTGGACCAGAGTCTGGGGGGGTCTGTAGCAGCTGAAAGGCGGGAGAAGCCAGTGGGGTTGAAGGGACCTTGATGGCTGCAGGCACTGGCTTCTTTGCCCACATTCATGGCACTGTAGTGCATGGCCACGTGCATTGCCCTGGGAAGCCCGAGGTGAGGGGGTGGAACGGATGGGGGTCAGGGTGCATCCCTAC